CCTCAGGCTGTATGCATTGCTTTTAAGATATGGACTACATTCCTCACTAGAAGATAGAAAAATATGTTTAAAAGTGCCTCTTTCACCAGGATTTTAATTTAAAGCTATCAGTTAAATTTAACATTAACTATGATATACATAGTTTTTGGACTGTCTTTTCTTTTTTATTTTTACTAGCTGCCTTGAGTACTTGTTTAAACAAAAAAAGAAATATAAATATCAAGAAACATTACTTTTTGGACATGGGAATTTGTATAACTTATGCGGTTCCATAATGATTTTCATTGTATTATGGTATATAATTTAAGATAGCTGGTCTTTTAACAGCTTTCCAAAATAACCAGTTCCCAATCAAGTCCAGATAATTTGCCAAGTCTTATTAGTTGTAATATGTTTCAAGTCAAAGAATTTTAGATTTATTTCTCTCTGTTATGTTTCCAGTTCAGAAACTGATTAACAGTACTGAAAGTAAGAATTCTTGTTTTTGTCCCAATACATCAGTCCATTCCACCTAGTCAGGCAGGGAAAGTATTTTGCAGATCCTGTCAGTGAAAGAACTCCAAATGGCAGATCCAGAAAGAGAGTCTTCCTTGCCACTGTTCCCACCCTTTGGAATCTACTTCCTCCAGAGGTGATACAGGCCCAACGCTGCTGGACTCCCAAAAAGGAGACAAAATATGGCTCTGCCACTTTGCATGAAGAGCCCAGAGGAGGTGGCTAGTGTCCTGAAAGCCCCCCTTCACCTTTTAATTAAATTTAACTGCGCTTCATCATCCTTGCCTCCTTCTAAAGCTTTAACTTTTATATACTGTTTTTAGATTGCAACATTTTATTATACACTGCCCAGAGTCACTCTCTGAGGAAGATGGATGGTCCAAAAAAAGTGAAAAAACAAATAAATTCTAAAGCTCATCTCATCTATATGCATTATTATTTCTCCCACTGTTCATTTTATTGGACCTCAATAATTAAACAACAACCCATCTCTTTTGGTTTCGAATTTACTTTGGTTCTTCCCATCCAGGCCCTTGCCTGCCTTCAATCACCACTTCCAACTTTGACTCTAACATTAGTGTGATCTAGATTGGTGATGTTCACAATCAGAGGTTTTTTTTTTTTTTAATTCTCTCCTCTACTTTTTATGTATTATTTATTTTAGGTTTCGGTGACTTTTCCTTTGGTCTTCATGCCTCTGAGTAATCTAAAACCCATAGGGGACTTCGAAAGGAGATATCGAGGTAGCCACATTTTAGCTTTGGAGAACTTGATTTTGTGTGTGTGTGTGTGTGTGTATGAGAGAGAGAGAGAGAGAGAGATAACTTTCCATAAAGTTCTGTTCAGTACATCCTTAGCAGATGGGAGTCATTCTGAACACCCCAGCAGAGACAATTCATGTTATCCTTTCCATTTTTAAAAGGCAGATGTCCTTTCCAGAAGTTTTCTGATTGTAATCCTTAAATCAGAGAGAAATATTGGCTGCCCTGTTTTTTCCCCCCTCTTGAATCTGGAGTATCGTTACAGCATTAGAGAGTTGGCTAGAACAACGCTGCCTGCTATCAATCAAATGGCTTAGAGGAATGGTGGAAAAGAATGTTAAATGTGATCCTGCTGTGATCACTAAAAAGATCTCTGTCAGAATGCTTCCGTGCCAGATATTATGCAGACACTGCTCCCATATTCCTGCAATGTTCCTGCCTTTTATCTTGTTTTGCACAATTCATCTATATCTTGTCCCTTTAACCACCTTACTAGTTCATATAACTCAGTTGGATTCAGCCTGAGGAAAAAATTTAATTAACTATGCTTAAAGAATAAAGGGGTCAGAAGGGGATGTTGGAAGGACATATTGGCATTGTCAATTTTGCATCTGTCTTAACTGGGCATTTTCTATGTCTATGTGTGCTAGTAAAATAAGACTGTTGATTAATTGTTTGAAGATTATTTTCTACCTCATAAAAGTCAGCAACTCCTCAACAGTGTTTTCTCTCACATGTATCTCATACAAATATTCAGCAGCTTCAAATAGCGGGTTTTTTTTTTTAAAGCCTTAATCTCTGATGATTACTTCTTTGGCAAATATAAGTGGAGATCACTGGGAAATCGTTTCTGGAGAATAGGATTTTAAGAGATCATCCAAGATTTACTTCAGTTCTTTGTTGTGTAATTTGTAGCAAACACAATCATTTCATAGAACCAGCAATGGTGATCATAATATGGTTTCTATTCATGGCAATGGAAGAAGTAGGCAACAGTCAATGACATTTCACACTCTAACCTAGATCAGTTCTTTCAATTATCGTATTGCAGATAGGCTCTATGTTCTTTTAAGTATTACAAATCTTACTGATACATATGGATTTATGTCAGAAAAGAGGATATCTTTACCTTCAAGTTTAATTCCCCCCCCCCCAGTGCTATCTTTTCATTGGAAAACAAATTTCATGCATTTTCCAATTGTATGTTTAATTCTTCAGAAGCAAGATTGGCCATTGCACAAATTGGAGTGTTCTGCCATGTGCATATTTGGACAGAACTGGAATCCCTCTGAGACAGTCAGACTCACAGCAAGGATTCTTGCCAAGCAGGTGAGCTGATCTGAAATATTTGTTTTGCCTTGCTTTGTCTAGATGGATAGGAAAGAAGAAAATAAGTCTGTCAATAACAGATCTCTGCAAAATTTATTTCCTAACCTTTTGCCTATAACTATTGATATTTCTTTGCTGAACCTCTGAATAATACATTACTTAAGAATATTTAAAAATGTTGCATCTTGAAATAATCTCTGTCTTTCCTATCTGCCAAGTTGCCTCCTATTGCCCTCCCCCTTACAGGATTCCATAAAACATGAATCTGGGTTTGAGCGTACCTGCTTTAGTCATGCAGTTGAAATTTTGAGCCTGCTGTAGTCAATTTCTCTACAAATCTAGTTGTTTGGAAGCTGGTGTTATTTTTGCATCACTTAAAATACACGAGTTATTGTTCCACAAGGTAAAGATAACTATTTTCACTAGGAAAGTAGAGGTCTTTGAAATGACCTTTGTGATAACCTGTCATTGCCAGATGAAAAATCATAGCTTGGTTTTAAAACAGAACATAGAGAAGATTTGAGAAAATAGAATAAAAGATAGATATGAAGCTCAGTCTGATTAGCTCACTAAAAATAATAGTCTAGCAGATGTACGAGTTTAATTCTAGAAGATCTGATTTATATTTGGAAAGAGAAGAAGAAGAGGGGGGAAAATCCCTAGAGTCCTTTATACTATTTGCTAGGTGATTTTCACTGCTCCATCGGTCATATTTTATATAACTTGGAGATTTTCCTTGTTTTTATAGTTCAGACATGTTATATATCCATTGATAATTCACATCCTATATCAGGGTGGCTTAACAAAGATGAAACATTTGGAATATTGTGACATCAATGGGGCCTAAATTAGCCAGCACATGCTTAATTTGTTTTAGGATTAATGGATATATTGCTATGGGGTGACCCACTTTGGCTTTAGCCCACTGAAATTTCCTCAAAAGCAAACAGTTCAGAAAAAAATGTAATCCAATGTGAAAAAAGTATTATATCAAAATATGCCTTGAATAAGATACCGTCTTCCTTGTTTTCGAGATAACTGCATGAATGGGTATATCTTAGCTTATTTTACAATGCAAGGATAGCAGCTGAGTAGAAGAGAGGTAAGAGAGAGCACAGAGAATAGAAATAACCCCACTGGCATCAAAATACCTTGACAGTCTTTCCTATATAATTCTTGGATTGGTGAGAAGCATGCCTCAGAATTTGTTCACAGGGAGAATTTGCTTGCTTGCACGTTTCTAAGTGACTATATTGTACTGCTCTTGCACTTCTCCAGCGTGCCTGTCTTTGCCATTAAAAGAAAAATTAAATTCCATAAACGATGGCCTTTGAAGAAAATCTATATGTCCAAGAATTGCTAATCTGACAAGAACAATCAAGGTAGAGTATAGAGAAAAGATACTGAAGGCCTAATGGCAGGGTAATCTGACAGATTCCCTCCTTCTCTGCTTCTTTCTTTTCTTTTTCTCCCTTTCCCTTTTTCAAATTAAAGCATAGTCTACTGGTGACCCACAAGCAAAATTAGATGTTTCATGATGAAAAGTCATTGGAATAAATTTGGGCTTTTATAGCTTGCAGGGAAAGGAAGGGGGCCCTACATGGAATATAAAAACTAAATATGCAAACTAAAGTCTCTAAACCTCAGCTGTTGGGCCACCTGCAAACTCACATTTAATGGCCAAGATTACAAAGGAGTGGCCTTAGGCCAATGCTGGAGTGTTGCTTTTGAACTCTTGTCAACATTGAGATTATTCACTTTCCTCAAAGCCGTCTGACTGCTCGCTATTCTTAGCTGGTTTTCCCCCAAATTTGCAACTAAAACAAGGGAGCATTTTTTCAATCACTCCTTCTATATGTATGCGTGCAAATTCCAGCATGAGCTCTATATCTTTTGATGGCTTATATATTGTAAGAGGTTGTGACAGGTAAACCTGAAAAGCTGTTCATCCCCTCCTCTGCAGTCTTTACAGGATGATTGTTGCAAGTGACAATTGCAAATACCTGAAGAAATACTTTGGAGGTTTTTCAACAAGTCATTTTCTCTCCCTCCTTTTTTTGCACCATTACCAGAAAACACACCTGGAAAGGACTGAGTCAGAGAAACTCCTTTCTATAAAAGACTTTGAATCCCGTAAGTAAAAATAAAGCAAACAGTATGTTGATTTTCAAAAGGCTTTTTTGGGGGGGGGAAAGGCTTACTAATTTTTCTACATATATACTCACTTTGTATCTGTTATGGATTGGAGACAGAAGTGAGGAGCAGGGAATAACTGAATTCTGGTCATCCTCTTCTTGCCTTCTTTGCAAGAAGTTCCCTCCAGGCCTGCTGCCTGGACTGGGGCATTGTGAGAAAAATGAGAGATATGAAATAGTGGCAGAAGCATCTTCTGAATATGGAGCAGATGAATATGAACTGCTGCCTATTTTCTATCGTCTTCCCCCTTTTCACTTGGTGGTTATCCAAAACAAACTATGAAAATCCAAAATGACAGTACACATGAAAAATGGCACAAGTTTTAGCTTTTGTGTGACTGGTTTCCCTCTTGTCCCCTTTGAGGATAGTCATGTGCATCTCTGTAGGCTAATGGGAGAAAGTATAAAAGGAAAGTCTTTTTCTCCTGATTCATCTACAGTTGGATATCTGGATCTAATGCAATAGTTAAAGTAACCCAATAAGCAAAACTGCATTGTTGATCTCCTTGATTTTGGCCTAGTGTTAAATACAAATGCATCCATTTTGGATTATTAACCATTGTTTAGAGTGAGCCCAAACCAGTTGTGGCTTTTTAAACAAACTGTACTTAAACTATGACTTGCTGGGATGGTTTGAACAGAGCCAATGAGGGGCAGAGTAACCCCCTCCCCTGACCTACCTTCCCAGATGATTCTCCCAGATGTTATAACTTTGGGAAAGATAATTAAAATTCCAGATAATAATTATGTCATTTCTATTTGTCAAACAATATTCCTGGCCGAGAGTAACTTTTGTAGCTATTACTGTTGTAAAATTTTAAACAGCCAGTTTTGTTGCTACAAGTCATAAAATTAGAGATGGTACAGATTTTTGATATGTCTCGGAGGCAGTTGTGGGCTGTGCCAGTTTGGACTGGTTCAGGCAAACCAGTAGTTGTGATTAGCAGGTGGGCCAGCCCACCCACACCGATGCTATCCTCTCCTATATCACTGTGTATTTGAAACTCTGCGCATGCGCGCTCGCAGACCCACATTTTCGGTGCTGGGCGAACTGGTTGTTACATTACGTGACACCCATCTCTGCTCGGAGGCTAATTGTAAGGTCCACTAGTATTTGTTGTATGTCATTGCCATTCAACTCTGACATGTCCTTCATGATTTCCACTTTCCGAATATTCCTAAAGTAAACTAAGGAAATTATTGCGATTAACTTTTTATGTATGTGGTGGTAGTATTGTCAGAGAAAAACCAATAAGGGAACTTCTGAATGTATTTCTCCTATTTACGGCTTTCATGATCGTCAGCCTTATCCCTTTGCCTTGCAAGACAAGATGAATTTATTTTTCATAGTACTTCAGTCTCCACACAATTTATTATAGGTTTGCAAAGCCCGGTCAAGTGCGTGTGGACATGATCAATAACATACCATGGACAAAATCATGAAACAAAGAAAATAGGGTGTGTTTATTGTCAAGCAACAAGAACCTAGAAATTAACACACTATGCTATACTTGTCAAAGGCAAAATCTCCAGCTTTCTGCTAGTTCTAATTGTCTGACCAATTTCTTCTTGAACTCTTCCGAATGTGATTCAAGATGCTGGTGATGCCATGTAATCTTCAAGGCACAGGACTGGGTTATTTGAGGAATAACCCCTCCCACCAATTACATCTACCCATCCCATTAGGTCCAACAGAAGGGGAATGCTTTGAAGTCTATCACCCGGGACTCCTGCAAGAGAACTTGGTCAAGTAGAACAGATCAAATGGAGAGACGAGTTGTGTCTGTGCCACCATGCTTGGGGATCTGGAGATGCAGTAGAGCCTGTACAGTGATTATATTGATTATAGATTAGGTTTTTTAGACCTATGGATTCTGTTACTTAGCCTTTTAGATGGTTTCATGGGCTTTTTATATTTTTCAAGATTGCATTTCATTCTGTTGTACTTTTTAATTTGTAAGCCAACCAGTCAAGAATCTGAAATGTGTAGGTATATAAATTGAAATAATAAATAAAAAAGCATTAACACAGAGTTGGAACTATCACAAGCTTACTAATGAATGCTTAAAACTCTGGCAATGCTCAAGCCTGTGCTAAAGTGCTTAGTAGTATTCAAATGGTACCTTGCATGGTATATCTGTATGTGTATGTGAGAGACACAGAGAGAAAACACCACCCTCCACATTGCCCCATGGCAGACATAGAAATAACGCAATTGTAAAAAAGGACAAAGCAAGTAGGGAGAGTTGGCACTTCAATCAATTGATAAAACTTTTGCCTGATCTAGAGAATTAAAAAGTTCCACTTAGGGGTTCAAGGGAAGGTTATGAAGGTTATGAATTCAGGCCAGATTCATTTGGGGGGGGGGCGACGACAGTTAGACCTTCATTCAGTTGAAGCACTTGCAATTTGTGTTAAATAAAGGTGTCCCTATGGAAAAAGGGTACAATGCAAATACTTTAAATGTTTCTCAAGCATATTATAACATAAACTTGGCTTAACAAGTAATTGTTCAAAATGAAATATTTTTACTTCTACCTTTACTCAGTTAGACTTTTAGAACTACTTTAATAGTTGTCTTTTCAGATGATGTCTCTCAAGATGCTTTCTTCTTTAATCACAATTTGAAAAAACAGCACAGCAGGTTATTAGGCATGTAATTTTTTGCATGATTGAAGACATTTTTGACATGTGATTTTCAATCACTTTCAAGTCCTAAATTTTAAAATCCGAGCAATGTTAAAAATCTGTTTTCCTTTTGAATCTTCTTGCTTTAGTGAAACAGGATTATTCACTTCGGATATCATAACATTGGTGTCGATTTAAAACAAAGAGAATTAATTTTATTACAGGATTAGCAAAAATTTTGGTTGTTAATTTTTTTGGTCCAAGATTGAAGGTTGAGGGCCAGTTTGATTAAGTTACCAGGTTAGAGATTGTGAGTTCCAATCCCATTTTAGGGGCAAAGCCAGTTGGGTGATTTTGCATCAATCACATTCTTATCCAAAGGAAGAAATGCAGCTGCAAACCTTTCTGAAATCTTGCCCAAAAAAATTGGCTAGGCATTCACAAGGAGTTACGGCTGGTTCAAAAGTACATGTACACACATACTCACATACAGAGTTAAAATGTCCTGTTATTAACATTTTTGCTGAGAATTACTCATGTTCACAAATCCTGGACAAGGGAAAGATTGGAGTAACATTGTCTATTGCAGTAAAAGAACGGTAGATGTTCTTTCCATAGATTGTATAATATCTTGAGCCTGAGTTTACTGCTGACAACAAGTGATCATTATGGTGTTAAAAAATGTCCTTTCTGTCATAGATCTTGATAAGCTTGACAATGAAAAGAAGGAGCTGATTCAAACTGATATCTCTGCTCTTCATCACTTTTATTCGAAGCACATGGAATACCCTGACAATGAAGCTCTGGTGGTACTTTTTGGACAGGTAAGGTGGTTGAAGATAAAAGGGGGTTATGGACCTCAAATAGCGCAGGAGGTACAAAACTGTGTTGTAATTTCTGCAATTGTTTCTTGGCAGTCCTCCAGCATGGACTGTGGCTGCACTGATTCTTCAATACTGTAAAGATATTTTTTTTACAGATTGCTTCCTCTTGTATTGTATTTTTTTTTAAAAAAAAAACATGGGCATATTAACTTTCAAATCCCTTCTTTTGAAAGCATGCTAATATCAAAACCACATCATATTCACACATTATGTTCCAAGGAATTCTGCTTGGGAATTTTCAGATAAAATGCAACATGTTTAAATGATGAGTTGCTTTAAGGTTGAATTTCTTTTCTCAAAAAAATAAAATATACTTTTATTATTTGTTAAGCAATTTAAAGTAGGAATAATTTACTTTCATATTTTTCTGGACTGTTATCATTTCAGGTTCTATTTTTTTATTTAAACATGAATGAATGAATGAATGAATGAATGAATGAATGAGATTTTTTAAAAATCCCTCCCAGCCTTCCATCTTTTATGGTATTTGTGTGGTTTGGTCTGCCCCAACTAGGCTATGCAGTTCTAATTTTTCAGGCAAAATTAGATTATAAATAAACTTTACATAAGCTCCCTTATGTAATCCTGGTAGTTCAACAGCAAGACTTAATTAAGAATAAGCAGTGTTATAATCAGATTAATCAGCATGGTACAGATGAATGGGGTCAACTACCATGCAGAGCGATAAGCCAATGGATTTTTTTTTTATATTTCTAAGATCTGAGTGCTTCTGTCTTCCCCCTTCTCTCAGGTTAACTGCAATGGCTTCACAATTGAAGATGAAGAACTTTCACACTTGGGATCAGCAATATTTCCCGAGTAAGCATTTGAGAAATAATACTGTATTCTTTTCCACAATGTATTAATGTTATTTCCAATAATAAATGTTAAAAAAATCTCTAGCTTGTTTACAGACTTAAGCCAGTAGTCCTTATTCCAACTTGTACGTCAGACACCATTCTCAACTGCTCCATGTTCAACCAAGAAGCAGATTTTTTAGGTAGCATCTCTCTTTCTACATTAGGAATGACTACTAAACAGAAGAACTTACATTAGGTTAGGTTAGGCAGAGTAAAATAAATAACTTCTCTAACTTACTATTGTCTACTTCCACTGGCAATAGCTCCTCCAGAGACATTTGCTTGGGAGAATAGCCAAAAGTTGGGAATCAGAAAAACTCGGAAAGACTCAATTTACAAAAGCCTGATATAACCCATAATAGATTCAATGGTCTCATATGTGTATTACAATCTTTTATGGTGGTAGCCTACCTTTGTAGAGAGAAAACTGTAATGTTAAAGACATAACATTTGATTTCTTTGGACCTCTGAGAACTGAGCCTTGTGAATTGATGCAAAAGAAGCATCAAACACTTCAAAGGCAAACATAAATTTTGCATGCACAGGAATTCGCCAAGGTCTCTGGCTTCTCTAGTTAAAATCCTCACCATTATTAAGAAGGCTTTAAGGTATTAGATTCATGAGTCCCATTGTAAATTAAGATAGGTGATTTTACCCTACACTATGGCTGTTGACAGTTTTTTAATATTTATATGGTTGGGGGATAATTGAGTTGATGCATATGGAAAGTGTATATGAATCCCATAGAAAAGGAAGATGCTGAAATGTCAAAAAGAAACAGAGAAATAAGAGGTCCAGTTGGCCAACTGACCCATGGGGAAAATGGAATGTGCCTCCTCTTTTATTTGCTTAGCTTATATAGTGTTGAGGTATAGGCTAGATAGTCTTGAATTATCTGTTGGTGGTTGGGACGTAGAATTGGGACTGGAAATGTGACTACTGAGTTGTAAGTTGGGTTGTAAGTCAAGGCACCTAGATGATTGGTGCTGATTTTTTTGATATTTTTGCAGAAGCCATGCAGTAGTTATGCAATTGTTAAGTGAATGGCACAGTCATTAAGTGAACCCATTCTGAATGGGTGTCTTTTGCTGGAAACTGGCCAAAACCACTGGAAACCTGCAAATAAAACAAACCATAGCAAATCATGGTTGTCTGACCACAGGATGCTGCAATCGGTCATAAAAGTGAACTGATTGCCAGGTGCCCAAATGTGGTCACATGACTGCCTGTTTTCAAGTTTAGCACTTTGGAGGAAGGAAGAGCAGGACATAGACCATGAGGGAGACTACAAATTAATGACTTGGCAAAAGGGCCCTTGAAGGTGATCATGCACATCAATATGGCATTGATCTTCATGTCTTGAAACAGTAAAATCAACATTATCCTTTGGGAGTTGGAATATGGGACATGTGGCTCAACTATGATCGATTCCATTATGATTTCAATTGATATTCAGCAACACAATGTGTTGCCACAAAATAATCATTTCTGTAATATATTAACTCTTGGATATGATTTACGACCACCATTGAGCCCAAAATTTCTGTTGCCAAGTGAATTTTGTTAAGTGAGTTTTGCCTCATTTTACCACCTTTCTTGCCACAGTTGTTAAGAGAATTACTGGAGTTGATATAGTTAGTAACACAGTTGCTAAGTGAACCTGGCTTCCCCATTGACTCTGCTTGTCAGAAGCTTGCAAAAGGTGATGATAACATGACCTTGGGACACAACAACAGGCATAGGAATG